CTTATCTGACTTTTTCATATATGTTCGTGGCATGTTGTCGCTCGCACTCTGTAAAAAATAAATAGTCATTAAAAAGAGGATTTAAAACAAACACCCACAATACCTACATATAAAATCGATCGGGGTGAAACCGGGTAGCCGAATTCACCCCGTCCGCTTGTACCCCACAAGTACCATGTTTGAAATTGTAATAACTAACAGGTTATGTTTACAATCACAGCAACAACCAATACCGTTTTAAAAGGTTAAATATGTATTACTTCTTAAAAAATACAACTGTATATGATAGCACACAGCTAAGTTTAATGATAACACTTTTAAAAAAAATAAATATTAGATAACTTACCCTTGTTTTTAAATTTCGTTATAAAGACTCACGCGCCGAGATGATACCGTCGCCGCGATTTGCAACCGCACTGAGTAAGCGTTCGCGCGTATTTCTCCACTAGCTAGAATGAGACAGCTGTACGTGGAGCAATGAAATAGGAACTATCTGTTTTCACCCCCTATCCGGTTTCCCCCCTCATTCCCCTATAATAAAATTCTAACCGAGTCGAATCTGTACATGAACTATTTTTTCGAAAATCTAATTGAAATACTCATTATTATTGATACAGAGGCCAAACTATAGTCTTTAGAATTTTTATTTGGACAGGAGGATTGGACAGATTTTGATGAAATTTGGTATGATGATAGCTGGTTATCCGGATCAACATATAGGATACTTTTTACTGCTGGAAAATATTTCATCTCTGAGAAATTTATACTAAACGTTAAAACATAACTAGGGACGAACCTCAGCGGAGCGAGGGTGAGTCGCTACTCGCTAGTAATTAAATAAAGCAGTGTATCACAAAGTATTTCACTAATAACATAAGTGCAAAAGTTTGTGAATAAGTAAACGCGTGTGTTTGTTAGTTCTTGAAGTTCTGCGGATTTGAATGAAATTAGTAAGGGCTTACTATAGAAAGGCTTTTATGTCTATGTTTTAGAATAAAATAGTTTAATCATTTTAAATAAAACTATCTATTTGGTTTTTTTTGGAGGACTGAGGAGAACTTCAATTTCTCGCGTGACCATGATAATTGATGTAAAGCATTCCAAACGTTGGGAATCAAAAATCTAAATACATCCGCGAAAAGATCATTTATTCGCGTAAATCTAAAAAAATATAATGTTTTAAACATTTTGATTCTCTAAAACATAAGTTATTTTACAAATGACAAAGAACTCATAGTATGCAACGAATATTTATTCGTCATTTTAGCAACAACAACAAAACCACTATAATAATACGTTCCTAGTATAAGATCCAACTAATGTCGCGTGTCCGATTGTCATCGAGCACGCGTATACAGCGTGTTTCAACGAATAGAATTAAAAATACGTACTTATATAGTGAAAATTCATGAAGCTATAAAAGCAGCCGCGCAATTTATAGTAATTGTAAAACTCTGATTAGCATGTAATTGGACGGGTGCGTTTTTGCCGTGTAAATAAATTCGAACAACTACGGTCAGATAGCTGTACATTCCTTCACTCGCTTTCACGTTGTCTGTTAGAGCGAGACCTATATATGTATAAACTTTTATACAGAGCGAAATAAAACTAAAGTATTATTGTATATAATTATTTATACTAGTTTTTATTATGCATAATAAGGTGTTTTATTTATTTGTATAGGCAACTAAAAAGTAATTAGTTATTACCGTAAAATATATTAAGAGTAATTTAACTTCATTTTAATTAAATTCTTGTCTAGTTATTGATCGCAATATGATTAAAATGTTATCAAGATGAAGCACCTAATTTGGTCGAAAGTATTAAAGGTGTGCGTACATCGTCACGCACAGTCCGCTGGAATATGTAGGTAGGTACTTTAAAACGATATCAGGTATTAAACACACGATAAATGGAAATTTTATAAGAAAACTACACACAATGCCCCTATAACGATGCAAAAACAGCTGTCGTCTTAACTGATTGACAGGCGATTTTATATCGGGAGACGTTTTCTTGTGATCGTTAATTAATGAGGACAGATTTCTTTTATCAGTTTTAAATCTACATGATTATATATTGAAAAATTATGCGTAAAAACTTTTCAATTACTCGAGTTTAAGTATCAATAAAGAACCACATGATGCTTATATATATATGTAGGTACATTACAAGTTACTTTTACCTTAAAAGTAAGAAGTTTATTTACTAAAAGTAAAAGTAGAGTAGAAAAAGATTAAGTATTAAGTAAAAAAAAAGCTTTCAACAAATAGGTATCTAAGAAATCCAAAGTCTAAATGTCGAAACTTTATTCCAAATATTTATCTGATAGATACAGTATTTGTTTCTTAGGTAGATAGGTCAATGAAAATAGAATGCTAATATGTGTTTTCGTTATTAGATAATAAATAACGCTTTAGATCACAAGGATAATTAACTAGCCGTTAGATATCGTGATTAACATATAATTGTTTTATACTATCGCTTATATTCATAAATCTCAAGACCATCGCAAATATTCATTAACGATCTTTTTACATGCAAAATTAAATGTTAACTTCAGCGAGTAACGTTAAGGAAAACCACAATTATGGCTTATATATCATCATTTATTTATATGTAGCTTGAAACGGTTGGCTAATTCTATGTTAATGGTCCCATGTAATTTATAAGCAAAAGGTGTATGTATGAGTATAAATTGGCTTATAAAAATTGCACAATCAATAGCCATTAAAAAAATAAATAAATAGTTATAATAGAAAGTAAAAATTACATTGTTATTATAAAACGTTGAACAAACAAAAACAAAACGCTATTTTCGATTAAGTTTCTATCGTGAGTTCTTTTCAGATGTGTTCTATTCCGAAACAATAAATATTATATACCAAGTGAATTCATATAACCTAGTGATACATTAAAGTTACACAGTAAAACTAAATTTTAGAAGAATCTTCTTTTCCTTCCATTTGACTTTAATAAATAATAAATGTCATCGCAATAGAGCTATTAAGGGTTAAAATTCAAGCAAACTTTAAACTTTAAGTATTGAAACTTAAGTTCTTTTATCGTATTTCTAAAGTGAAGACATCGGCTGGCGTGATTGAAACAAACCGCGATGCCGCGATAGCGCGTTTTCGTTCCAACGCTATCAATTACTAGGCCTTTGATTTACGTTTGCGATTTCACCTCCGACGGCCACTGCACGTTTTGATTAATTTAAATAAATTAAATATTGATATAAAAGATACGAGTATTTCATACATTCTCATTATAATTCACTCAATTAAGAACCGGTTTTGAAACAGCGAAAACACATAAACAAAACGTGTAACGGATAATAAAATTGTGAATGAATATATATATATACTAGCATTGCCCGCGGCTCCGCCCGCGTTCAGATGACCAAAAACTAAATTCTTAGGTGTTACATATTAGTATACTCTTACATTGCAGTTTTTGTATTTTTCCTCAGAAATAAGATATTTTCCCGCGGTAAAAAGTATCCTAGGATCGCGCGCTACATCGCCCGGTTTATATAGCTTGAGCAGGCGGTCGAGCGATGCGGGGCAGAGGGGATGGACTCGCCGTAGGCATCTCAATGCTCGCCAAGCATTAAAAATGTTTCGCTACTAATTACTTCTAACAACGATATCTCAAAAACTATTCATCTGATTGATTTAGTGTAAAGAGCAATTTTAATCTGCATTAAATGACTAAGCTAACTAAAATATTCATTTGGATAAGGATTAATACCGAACTAAAGAAAATAACTTTGAAAATAACGTAATGTTTTTAATTAAAAATGTTAACATAAAAGTGGTTATTGTAAGTCAACCGTAAGAGATAGAGATATGCTATCGCGGACTTTTTTGTAGCATTTTTATAGATTTTGAATTCTCTAGTACATTACTTAACTGTATCTTTGCTAGTTTACGCGGCGTTCGCGTGGAAAGTTCCCATTTGGCGAGATTTTTTGCGACCTCTTCAACATTTGTCGCCGTATTTCAGCTAATTTACATAAAAGCATAATAAATTATATACCTAAACCTTCCTCAAGAATTACTCTTTCTATTGTTGAAAACCGTATAAAAATCCGTTCAGTAGTTTTCGAGTTTATCGCGTACAGACAGACAGGAGGACAGACAGGAGGACAGAAAGACGCGGCCGGGGGACTTATTTTTATAATAAGTATAGATATACATATATATATATAAAAAAAACTAAATAAGTTATGCAAAAAACTCAACCTGTAGTAATTATTGCTAGTTTACGCTACATACAAATATAGACTTTATTGATATATAAATAAAATTTAACATAGCTTAAACAAGTGTTGTGGCAAATAGATTAGTTTCTCTCCATTTTTTTTTCATCACACTGTTGTAAATACATAGTGGTACCAGGCGAGCAGAAGTGACAAAGAGTTCGCATTAACTATATCGGTGACGCAACTACGGCCACCGAACTGCCGAAAGGTCTCAACGAACCGGTACGAGTGTAGAGTAAAAAACTGAATGGCGATTCATATAATAATATACTAGAGATAAGATATAGAATAAAACAGTTATGAAATATACATAATAAGAAATATTGTTTGTAAGGAAATCGGTGACCTTCAAGCTCTGGCCGATAAGACGAACGAAGGCATAAATACTTACGACGTATTATGAAATTAATATTTTTCATATAACATTATAAATGTAAAAATTTCGTGAACACTACACATGCATTAACCACTAAATAGATTTGGATAAAACTTGCCAATGAGATAAATTAGGTTCTGGACTTACAATCTAGGATACCAACCTTATATCCCAGTTAAGTTCCCGTGGGATAATAGTTGAACTATAACATTATTATAATTAGGTACATTTTATTTTAGGTAAAATTACTAATAAAGGCTGCCCAAAAGCGTTTAAATAAAAAAACATTCCCTACAAAGCTGGCAGAAACTACTAACTTTTAACATAAAAGTTCAATTAATACAAATTTAAACTTACCAATATCGTGTAATCGTTGATTATCCTTCTGTGAAAGTGCTGCGTAGATGCCAGCGTCGCCCACTCTTTGCCTAGCGACCGCGATCCCGACGGGAATGGAGCCTAGAAACATCCAAATCTCTTTAAAACTAGGTTACAAAACCTACGGTTATAGATAAATTAGTTGGTGCGTGGGCTTTTATTATCTAAATTTACTTAAGGTTTACCATTTAACCGACTTAAAAGCACACAAGTCCTATTCTAAATGAGTAATGAGTTTTATATCCCTAACTTGAGAAATGATTGATTCCCCATACAAATTTCCTCCCCTTAACGGATGATTTTCGGGATAAAACTATCCTATATCCTCCCCAGGGAATCAAACTAGGTATCTTCATACCAAGTTTCATGTAAATCGATTCAGCAGATTTTTAGTTTATCCATTACAAACAAACTCACAAACATACAAACTTTAAACCTCTTTATAATATTAGTTGTAGACTGTAGATAAACATTGTTGTGTTAGAAGTAATAACGGCTAAAAAAAGAAGGCAAAACGTACGTTTTGCCTTCTCTTCGTCATCTTCTCATTCATTGCATCATCATGCCTATAACTACTAGGAGCTCATAACTCAACAAGAGCTCTTGCAGCTTGTTACTTTCAAACCAATGCAATAAATATACTTACACGTAGAAACTAAGTAAATAATAAATGTAATTAATGAAAACATTTGACGGACCTAGTTAATTATACATATTTGTGTAAAAACAATAATTTATTTAGAAGTTTTCTGTTAAAATATTACTACGAGTGGTATGGAATGGATAGACTATATATTATATTATATCTATACTAATATTATAGAGGTAAAGTTTGTGAATTGTGAGTTTGTGACGTTGTAGGGGGTCATCTCTGGATCTTCTGAACTGATTTAGATGAAATTTGCTAAGAAGATAGTTTGAGACTCTGGGAATGGCATAGGATACTTTTTATCCTGGAAATCATCCCTTAAGTGGGTGAAAATGGGGATGAAAGTTTGTATGGGGAATCAACCTACAGACGAACTTGAGCGAAGCGACGACGGTGAGTCTTTAGTAATATAATATACCTTCCTCAATACGGGCTAATCTAATGCAAAAAGAATCTTTCTAGTACCTGAGATTAGCGTGTTCAAACAAACAAACTCTACCTCTTTATATCAGTAAAGAAAATTTAATTTCAAAAAAAAACTAGAAAAAATATAGTTGAAAAATAAATAACAAAAAAAAACCTAACATAATTTGTATAAATAACATTCATTTACAAACAATGTAAACCTTAATTATTCCTTTAACGTTTACACTTTATAAGGTCAGCGGTTATAATCACAAACTAAATTATTCCAACCTATAATTACTATTTGCTTGTTCATTGTTAGGAAAAGTTTTGCAAACAGCTGAGTCTTTCAAATTACCAGGCAGTCATAAACAAGTAGGATATGGTGTTTAACAAAACAATAACGTTTGTAACCAACGTTTGTTCCAACAAATAATAACTAATAAAATCAATGAGGTTTATTCAAATGTTCGGGGCCAACTATTGGCAACGTTAACAAACTTCACTTCCTTTACACCGAAACTTCGACCAATATTGCTTATGAGATACTAGGCTAGCATAAACAAAAGAAAGTAACGTTGTTATGTACACAGTACACAAGTTCTTTCCAACACTAACAAGGCTTATCTCAGAAATCGTTTAAGCCTTGCCACGCCTAATAGGCGGTAATGACCGTGGTGTGCCAACTGCAATTTCACGACTCATAAACTATGCTGTTACGTAGATTTTTGAGATATTTTTTGTTTTGTTGACGTGAATATGTCTGCACTTGTAGTGCTGGAAATGTAAACAGCTTTCTCCATTTGTCTCTTTATTTTTGTATGGTTTTAACACAAATAAACTTAATTTTGATAAGAACACTCTTATGTTCTTTTCTTCGTTTTCGAATTATATAATAACTTACTAATACTTTCTTAGATTTACGCGAATATTTGACATTTTAAATAAAACTATCTATTCGGATTTTCTCTCTGATAGTCTCTCCCATGACCATGATTGCTGTAAAGCATTCGAAACGTTGGGAACCAAAAATCAAAATAAATCCGCGAAAAAATTCAAAAAGATATGTTTATTTAAAAACCTTATTAATGTTATTGATAATCGATATGTAAAGTGCCATCATACATAAATTCCTTTTGTTATAACAAACGGTCACCCATCTAATTACATATGCTGAGAAAGTTGCTTATCTTTAGTAATCAATTTAACTGACGGCAAATTCCAATTACCTTTCTATATGCGAATTTCATTAATTTATTAAGTAAGTACCTACGTACTAGCGATAAGAATTTCCATAATTTGTTGGAGTTGTTCAGAACGTTCAGAATGTAGAATGCGAATGTTCAGATTTGATAGCCAATTAAGGCACTATCCAAACTATAGTGTCGATTACGATTCGTTCTCAATCCGATACCGGTTTAGTAAAGTATTTTTATACAGGAAACAATGAGTGCATTCACACTATCAGTAAAATCCAAGTTCCGTTCCAGTCACGTTTCTTGTATGAAAATATTTTACCAAACCGCTATCGGACCGAGCTCGGCACTATAGTGTGGGTCAGCCCTAAGGGTACCTAACTTACCATTATTTAAGGACGAGGGTATAGGCGGTTGCTCTGGCTTGTTCCCCGGCGATGCTTGCTCCAGTTTGACTGCTACTAGCTCAGACACGTGCATATGCTGTGGCTCACGCTTCACTTGCACTAGATTCTGGCCCGCGACTCCGAGCCAGGTCACAGGGTTAGTGCGACTGCACCCACCGTCTGTGTGTATGACCTGAAGACAATACGTATCCTATAATATTTTCTAGTGTTCGGCGATTGAGACTAGCTTAAAAAAAACAAAAATGTTTAAATGGGATAGAGACCTATATTATGTATTATTATAATATTATTGAGTATTTTTTATAATAAACTAGCTGGGATACCCGACTTCGCTCAGGGATATGAGATTATGTGGTAGTTGGAATAAAAGGATAAACTTTAAAATGTTCTTACAATTTTATTTCTACAAATTTTTCGAATTTTCTACTCGAGAGCATATAGTTGACCGTGAGGAAAGCAGGAGTGTTTGAGGTTGATGCCGCTATGTTTTACGTTCGAACCCACGGCGGACCTTACTTTATATCCTATCAATGGGTAGCCTCACCCATACAAAAAAGGCTTCGAATGGTCCATAATGTTCCAGAATATTGCACAACATTCGAGAGTGTTCTTGAATGTTCCACAATGATCTGGGATGTTTCCAAACCATCCAGAATGTTCCGGGATGTTCTGGAATGCTCTCGAATGTTCTGGACTGTTCTAGATATTTCTATAGAGCGAAACTTTCAGCCCTTATATCTTCAAAGCCACCACCTTTATATAAAAACAAGAACCATCATGGATGGGGGACAGAAGGCTACCACACCATAGGTATAAGTGCCTTGTTTCTGAGATTAAGCGGCACGCACATTGTACACTTTCTTTTAGTATATAGATATATATTGATTGATTATATCTATCGTTTATATAAATAAACCACTGGACAAATTTTGATAAAATTTGGTATAATGATAGCTGGTTATCCGAGTCAACATATAGGATACTTTTTATTGCGGGATAATATTTCATCTCTGAGAAATCTATACTAACCTTTAAAACGTAAGCTCGGGTTCGTCCCTAGATTTGAGCGAGGGTGGGTCGCTAGTTCTAAAATAAATTATTAATACGCGAGGGAAAATCACTCAAACTTGTATCATTAGGTATGCATGCTTTTATATTAAAAAAATAATATGTTCTTTCGAAGCAGTTTAAGAGAGTAAATAAAGAAGTTACCTTTAACCGTAGATAGATATTAGGTAGGTACCTACTGCGAGTAAGCACTTGGGTCTCACATTTAATTTTTAATTGGATGACGAGTGTTAGGAAGTACTCATAACCATTGCAGATCCGATTTAACTAGACTGGTAATAGAACCCATAACAAGCAGTTCATTAAAATATAACAATATATTCCATACTAATATTATAAATTTGTAAGTACCTAAACTTTTATGTACTCCAAATGACAAACTTATTTTTCATATTTGGATGTTATTAGAGCAATATAACACTACTCCCACAGTAGAAAATATCGTCATGTAAATTTAAATTTAGTTACAGTGTTACAAAATGTTACGTTGCTTAATTTAGGAAACAATGAGGGCACGCTCACTGTGCGATTTAATTTCGTCTACGTACAAAATAAAAGATGTAAATTGTTTAACCGACACTCAAAAACACACAAGCTGTTTTAAAAATTTTCGTGTATTATGAGAGAATACGCAGATTAAATTTAAAAACTAAAAAGATAATTAAAAAAATGTAAGGCAGTTTGCTATCAAATTGAAATTATTTCACTATCGGGACACACTATGTTTAGATAAAGATTTATAAACAGACTAGCATCTTACCCTCGCTCCGCTCAAGTTCGTCCATAGTTACATTTTAACGTTTAGTATAGATTTCTTAGAGATGAGATATTTTCCCGCAGTAAAAAGTATCCTATACCCCGATAACTAGCTATCATCGTACCAAATTTCATCAAAATCTGTCCAGTGGTTTTCTCGTGATGCGGTCAGACAGGCAAAATTTCTAAAAACTATAGATTCGGCCTCTGTATCGATAATAGTGACTATTTCAATAAGATTTTCCAATAATATTTAACGTACAGATTTAACTCGGTTAAAATTTTATTTAATATGTAGGTATAGAAGATTGTAAAATATACTTTTTAAATCATAAAGCCATTTTAAATGAGCCAAAAACATGTCTGCGTAGAATAACGATTGCTGTATTCCCACACTGAATCACAATGAATCTTAAGGCGAAAAACCAGTCATTAATTTTTGTACCAGTGGATAAGACAAGTACAATATATAAAACGTTAGGCTCAGTTTGTAGTGACCCTACTTGATGTGCCGGCGGTCGCGGGTTCGAGTCCCGCTGGGGGCACTCATTTGTGTGATGAACACGATAGTTCGTACACCAGTCGTGGGTGTTTATATTTATAATTGTTTATATTTTCTATGTATTTAAAGTTATATATGTGTAGTGTATCAACTATCTGGTATCCATAACACAAGGCTCGTAGCTTACCATGAAACTAAATGGTGCTGTGTGTTAATGTCTCAACATATTTATTAATTATTTATATAAAAAATAAATAGTACCTATATCTAAATAAATTATTGTATCAATATATAGTATAGGTATATATAGCAGTAGCGTTTGGACAAACCTTTTTAGGCGAATTAGTGAGACAAGTGTTACAAGTCCGCTTCGCCTGTTCGGTCTTGATAGTTAGAGGCTGCATCACGTTAACGCCGTCAAGTAACCTCTGGTCTGGACAGCACATGGACTCGGATAAGCACTTACCTATCTTACTTTCATCCATCTTATTAATATCCCTGTGTAATACAAAATACCGGTGTAAAATAAACAACATAAAACAAAAACACCAATAACTCGCTAAGAATTATTCTTTCAATAATTATACACGACTAAAATAACCTCATTATAGGTATCATTTCATTTACATTCATAAAATTCTTCGACTAGCAATATATACCTTGATGTAATACGTATCCTAAATTATAAAAGAATAAAATCTTACCAAATTTAGACACTAATGGTACAAAATTACATTTAACTTTCCGTGTAAGACCTGCCAAAATTGTTCCTAGATTAGCCTCGACAAACAGACAGACAAAAAGTAGAAATAGACACAGTTTATAGAAGACACGTTTATAAATATAATAGAATATAAGTTCTAAAAGCTTCTATGTTATAAATAACGCAGAGAGAACTTACTTATCAGTGACGAGCACTCTCTGCGCGCAATTGAGTAACTCTAGCTGCAGCGGAGAATATGGAGAGTTGGGCGGCGGTGTGGGCACGCCGAACGTTGACAACGAAGTAGAGAACAAACTCTCCGTTACTGTACAATAGAAAAATCAAATTATTAAAAATTATGAATATGCTACTCCATAATTATACCTATATTCCATAATGGTAAAAGAAGGTAGGTAATGGGTGAGTTAGCTATGTCAGGAATCAGGATAAATATCTGCAAGATCATAGTTGTAATGAATCTTGCTACAAAATCTTGCTGTAAAAGTATGTAATTATATATGTGAACATATGTATGTTTTTTTGTTTGTTTGTTTGTTTATTGCGACAATAAATTGATCAACTAGACATTTTACATACTTTTATGGTGCTATACATGGCTATGTCAATAGTTAATAGTAACATATATTAACAGAGAAGAAACCAATTTTTTGGCGCGACTAAAAATCGAACCCCAAACCAACACAAAAGATTGATAATATGCGTTAACCGATCGTGATATTACTTGGCTGGTGTTCATTGCAATTTCGGGCGTAATATCCAAAAAAATAATCAGTCTCATTTATGCAGGGCTTCAATTTTTGATATTACCTGCCTACTGTATTTTCGATCAAAGGGATGTATCATTATGGGTATCTGCAGTGGCAAGCATTTTGCATATTGCAGCTTTAAACTGAGCCTCATGTAATGAATATTGTAACGTAGGTAAGCACCTATTACATAAATCTATACATATAATAAAATTCTAACCGAGCCGAATCTGTACATTTAATATTTTTTGGAAAATCTTATTGAAATAGTCATTATTATCGATAGAGAGGCCGAATCTATAGTTTTTAGAATTTTTATCTGTCTATCTGTCTGTTACCGCATCACGAGAAAACTACTGGACAGATTTTGATGAAATTTGGTATGATGGTAGCTGGTTATCCGGGTCAACATATATAATACTTTTTACCGCGGCAAAATATCTCATTTCTGAGAAAAATTACAAAAACTGCATTTTAAGAGTATACTAATATGTAAAACCGAAGAATTTGGTTTTTGGTCATCTGAACGCGGAAAGAGCCGCGGGCAAGGCTAGTAAAGTTTTAAAAATTTTATAAACAACATTTTCGTAACAACGGGACATCAATCTGTCAACTCACCTAGGTATATAATTGGAGATTTTTTAACCCAATTTTTTTCACTTTTCCGTACAAATTTTTCAAACATTTCTTTCATATAAACCTTATATTTATCCTTATAGTTCTGAAGTGGTTCGTTTACATACATTTATTTGGCAATTGATTTTTATTTCTATAATATAGTTAGAAGATAGATATTATGCATATCTTATTAGTATATTAAATATTCATATGGAGACATTTCAGGTACACAGTACACAGTCATATAGACCGATAGAACCTTATCTACGTCATATGAATATATTCATCCTTCATTAATGCTATGACAGGAGCGTCTGATAGTGTGGTGTGGCAGTGCCGACCCATATATACCCTGATCGCCTGTACTTATTACGAACTAAATGTAAATCAAATAAAACCAATTCATTAAATAAAAATTAAATATAAATATGTTGAGAGATTAACACACAACACTACCTATCTAATTCCATGGTAAGCTACGAGGCTCATGTTATGGATACTAGATAGTTGACACACTACACATAGGTATATAACTTTAAAAACATAACACATACATATTATAAATATAAACACCCATGACTGGAGTAGAAACATCCGTGCTCATCACATAAATGAATGCCTCCAGCGGGACTCGAACCCGCAACAATAAAATAGGGTCACTTCAAACTGAGCCAAACGTGTCGTCGAATTTTTCATTTCATTTATTATGTTTCGACCGATTAATTGTCTGACACATTGTTTAACATTGAAAATGTTTGTTGTGTATCATAAAACCGAATAATAGAGTTATTAGCAGAAAGATAAAAGTACTAATTGGGTTAAGTGATGTTATTTTTCAATTTTAAAATTAGTGTTCCATCAAAATTAATTTAGCAAATCCAGCAAAAGGCATAGAATAATATCTTATATACAGCACATTCGTCATCGCACGACAATAGACACCTATATATGTATATGAACAAATAAAATCATCTTAAATGCAAAATCACTAGCATCTGAGAGTCTATAAAAAGTTTAAAAGACCCCAAAATAACAAAACAAAACGATGAGAACATTTAATTTTTCAGTTCGCTGGCAACGACGTCGCAGACGCACATGTGGGTGCGCGGGAGTCGAGTGACACAGTAATTAAGCCTCGGGCCCTCCGCAAATAGATCAGACCAGTTTCACCACTTTAATGACTTACATTTGTCATGCCTGGGTTTTAGGGTTCCTTACATATTTTATAGACGTTGAAATATAACATGTTACTTATTTGTCAATAGGTTTGAAACAACCCTAAATTTGTTAAATACGAATATGTAGCAGCCCTCGATTGGCTAATTAGTTGGAAGAGCTTTAGCCACTAACTAACCGCAAATCGATAGGAAGTTGTTATTTTAAGTCCTTGCTATCGTTAACTGACGTTCGGATAAATACTAAATTGTAGTTGCTTGCATGATCCTATAGTTAAGTATTATCTATTTTAAGTTAAATATAGGTAATAATTGTAATTCTAACAATATATTCTTCTAACTGAAATAAGAGCAATTGAGATTAAAGTTAAATACATAAGAAAGAAGTTGGCCCATAGATATATACCTACGTATGATTAATAAAAATCAAATTAGCAAAATCTTGCTAATAGCTTGTTAACACTTCTGTTGAAAGTATTATATGTACCTATATATTTATATTACTAGCGACTCACCCACGTCTCAGGTTCATCCCTAGGAACGTTTTAACGGTTAGTATAAATTTCTCAGAGATGAGATATTTTCCCGCAGTAAAAAGTATTCTATATGTTGATCCGGATAACCAGCTATCATCATGCCAGATTCCATCAAAATGCGACAGACAGACAGATACAAGATAGACAGATATGTAGACAGACAGACAAAAATTCTAAAAACTATAGATTCGTCCTCTGTATCCATAATAATGTCTATTTCAATAAGATTTTCCAAAAAATATTTAATGTACAGATTCGATTCAGAATTTGATTATATGTAGATATAGAGAAATATTATAGGTAAATATAAAAAATAAGAGTTTTTCACAAAAATGACCGACATAGCATAGTATTATATTCATAATTTGCTTTAAGCCTCATTAGTTATTCAACTCCTTTTGTCCATACAACAATAATAATAATTAAAAAAAAATTAACGTAGGTACCTTACGTAGAGTAAGATAATAAAAAATATTGTTCACGAACTTATCCATTCTAAGTACATACTTGAAGCCTAGTTTTGCTAGATATTTATTTTTAATTTTACCAGCCTTCTCAAAAACCCATTAAAATAGAATCCAAAAGTCCGTCATTTTTAAATATTACATCTATTTCACCGCCCAAATTCCACATTTATCCGAATAATTTTACAAACAAAGCAAATCTTTTCAAAGCTGTTAAATACACTATACCTACACACCTATATTTGGTATCTATTCAATTTATTTGAGAAACCTTAATAGGTTTTTTGTACTAAGTTACTTTAGCATCTGCTGTCACGCGAGGTATTCAAATGATCCGCACATTAAACACTAAATCCGAAGCCGTCCGTCACGTTACGTTTCACGCGTCAGTCACACCGATCTGTATAATTGTATGATACGATCTTTGAATTATCGCTATGTATTTTTCTTAATATTCATAATGTTTTATTTGAAAATTCTATATACATACATATTTTAAAGAATTTGTATTTTACTCGAATAAGGAACATATAATAATCATGGCGTCCTATGGCTGCCATACTTGCGACTATCAAACTACATGGGATAAAATATAGTGCACAAATGTGTGCGTAGACACAACTGCAATCTCTATTCCCTCAAATCTTATATTCCCGTGGGACAACAATTTGACGCGACCGTTAAGAGATAAGGCAAAAGAAAACTTAACGTGCTCTCTGAGGAACGTGGGATACACACCGTCGATTCCACAACTTCGGATTTTTACCGACTATTTAGTTGAATTGGCGAAAAAATCTAAAGAATCTTTTGATTTACCTCTTGTAATAAAAATATAGATATATGGGGCATTCCACGCCAAATCGGATGGTTTCTAAAAAGAAAGGTAAATTTTGACATTTTTTGATCACTGGTTCAAAACCGCTCTTTTTTGGGTTTTTGCTCATAACTTTCTTAATAATGGTCGAAATTCAACTTTGTATTCTAAATTTTTGCTGACCCCCTTACAAAAAAATATATTAAAAAATATTTAAAATGTTTTTAATCGAGATTTTTGAACTTTAAATTTTCAATCGTATTTTTAAAACTGTGTGTATCCTTCGATTTTTTTGAAAATTTTCTATTATAAACTACTATTCATTATGCAACTTTTAAGCCTGGTCCGGTAGTGGGCCTTCCATAATTACTATTTTTTTCGAATTTTAAAAATGAAAAAAGAAATTAAAATAAAAACATATGCACATAATATAGTTTTTCATATGTTGAGGATATGCTCATAGTTCACGTGAGAAAAGCAGGACGTACTTTAAAACAACGCAGTATTATAAAATCAGACAACTAGGTACATCCAAAGCATCTATCAAATATCTTTAATAGCAAGGCGTAGCGATTTACTGCCGATATTTACTCAAATTATCACTGCTTATACCCCAGATGACCAGATCATATCCATGAGTATACATACGAGTATGTCGAAGGCATATTGAATAATTGGTCATATTACAAACGTTTTACAATTTGCCTTGGGCATTACAGGTATAAACGCGCGAGTGTTTCCAGTCCGACGGCGCCGTTTTGTATTAAGACTAATCATACGATATGCCTGCTACATACTCGTATGTATGTACATACACATGATTACGACTACCTGGGGTATTAGCAATTGCATTTTTTTTATTGATTGGTAGATACTGAAACCTAGTCCAATATGTAAAAAAATTTTCAAAGTAGATATGTTACAAAGCTTCGACTCTAGATTCCGAATAGCCGGATCTTCCGATTGATTTTACACGTAGGTAGCGTATTGCATCTGAGGTTATATCGATCTAGGTAGCTTCCTCATACAAACTATCATCCTCATTTTCGCCCCCTTAAGGGATGATTTCCGGTATAAAAACTATCCTATGTCCTTTTCAGAATCTCAAACTATCTTCTTATAAAATTTCATCTAAATCGGTTCAGTAGTTTCGAAGCCTAATCGGTACAAGTAAACAAACAAATCTTTTCTCTTTGTAATATTAGTATAGATAACAAAAAAGTACCAACTGCATTCGTCCTTACTCCCTACTACCTACAGTCTCTTGTCACTTGTCGCGACGGGAATCTCCTCACGCTCTTTTTCACGATACCTATAGCTGGCCACATTGTTTATTTTGTGTTAAACACGATTTAATTTCGACTTTGATATTGACTGCAATCTTCGACACCAATTCCGATATATCATTCCGATTCCGATAAAACCAACTCCGTAACATCCCTATTTCAAAATAAACCGACATTCTTGTGTTATAAATACACAAATAGATAGAGACCTTATGTTTTATAATCATTAAGGAGATTAAAATTTGCTGTGAACTATACAAAAATGTCCACGCGCGCAAACCCGCAAGAAAAGCTAGTTAAAAATAGCCATAAATTAATACAACTAAATCGATTGTATCGCAATAACATACATTCTTGGTATGATCTATTAATTCTACACTACATATGTCGTCCCAGTTCGTGCATATTTGACGTAACCCACTAAGCCCGAGGTGTTCCTCGTTCCACTCATTGTACCGCGCTTCTAACATCGAGTTCGAAATAAAAAGCAATTATAAAGCAGTTATGTGCACATCGGAGCGAGTTTAAGTAGTAAAATTACTGTTTTAACGCAAGCACTAATTAAAGTTCACATTTCGTGTTTTTTTTTGTTTCATTGCATGTCGTAAATGATAAAATGGACACTAGTTAGTGTGGAGGTTGTATAATATTTTTTATTTTATAAAAATATAGGACTCGTGTCTCTAGTTATTGTATTGTAACAGATTAGTATACTAAGCTCTTCTTAGAATACTTAGCTGTTGTCACTCTTTGACCCATTAGATACCTACTTCTTTTTCTTCTTCTTCATCTTTACGCAAAACCTCATGTAGAACTCTTAAAAGAAGGATAACTAACAATCAAACACAAATTCAACATATCAATACACAATTGAAACAATTATGTACAGTATTTTTTTCATAAAAGTAGGCATCTACAGTTGTCTAATATATTGGTTGATATTTCAAACGACTATAAATATTTAATTATAGTTTAAAAAAGCTCAAAAGACAGGCTTTTACCATATTTTTATTAAATATTTGTAGGTCGAATGATATCTAGATATTAATTCTAAATTGTTTAAACACCTCCTGCCCTTGACGAAAGAATCAGGTTCGTTTTTAGAGTTCTGTACCCAAAGGGTAAAACGGGACCCTATTACTAAGACTCCGCTGTCTGTCCGTCTATCTGTCTGTCCGCCTGTAACCATTCTGTATCTCATGAACCGTGATAGTTAGACAGTTGAAATTTTCACAGATGATGTATTTCTGTTGCCGCTATAACAACAAATACTAAAAAACAGAATAAAATAAATATTTAAAGGGCTCCCATGCTCCCAAGGGGAACCCTCCGTGCTCGGGTCCAACTCGCACTTGGCCGGTTTTCTAGATTTTTGTAAAACAATTTTTTAAATAAAACGAAAGTAGTATTTCAAACAAAAAAACTAACTTAGCAGATTGCTTTATGTATTTATATATAAGTTTTCAAAATAGAGACTGTACCTACATAATATAAGCTGATAGTTTCGAGAATAAGATTAGTTAAAAGATGTAAGTTACAATTTACTTAGATTTAGTAGTGGTCAAAAAAAAAACTTTTTGGACTACCTCACACTATATTTTAATATATGTACCTAAGTGCGATATAATAATAATTCCATATCGGACAATAAGAGATATATGTTAAAACATATTGTACCGATACAAATAGTCTACACTCTACAGTAGACATACAAGACCGCTTTAATTAAGTATATTTAAAAAAGAACAGATAATATATTCACCTTTATGAATTTGTGTAGACCTGCCGCCTTGATTGGGAAACAAGGAATACAACGGAAACCTCGTGACACCTGTGGAAGGGACAACAAATGAATTGAGCTGAGGGATAGCTCTTAATAGTGTTTACACAAAAACTATATTAGAATACATTCAACATTAATAGTTATACAGTTTGACATGACAAATGACGTTTCTTCAAATCTTAGTTTAGACATAATTTCTTTTGCCTATTAAATTGAGTACTTCAAATTTTCTGTATGTTTCACAGCATTTTAAGCATAACCATTTCAATTCTTCTTTCCAGGTCATAAACTATATATATATGTCTATACAAAAAAATCACATAAATTTGTTCCTCCATTCGCAAGCAGGACCAACAAACGTACACTCTTTAGCATTAACTAATATTAGTATAGGTTAGTTATTCATATTTTTTGCATTTACTAATATTAGTAGAGCTTACAAGTTATAATTATAAAGTTTATTAAACTATGAATTAAATAAAAAATATAACAATATAGTATGAACTCACCTTGCAGGTCAGTGGGCGGGCGGGAGCGGGCGCCCCCCGCCGCCCCGCCCAGCATCGCCCCTCGCACACCACCTCACCACCTGCGGACATTGCGCTATTCATTTATATGTCCATATTATCATAATTAACTAGCTACCATCCTACAAACGAGGTAATGAAAATTTCAAAATTTGTTCATTATTTTCTTTGATTTGGCTTTCTTTTTTATAGAGGGAAAATACAAGTTTCGATTCACGTTTGAGTTATGTATATTTATTATTTATATTAAATTAAACTATTTATTAACTGGCTACTTTGCAAAACATTGTACGGTTCTGGTCATCTGTTGTTACAATTTATTGTTTGGGTGCTACCTGGATAAATCAATAAAATTTAAAATGCTTTAGGTATACATTCCAACTCATTAGTACGTATTTAAGAACCCTAAGATCTTACAACGAAGACAAAAAAAATGAGGAAAATTTGTGAAATTTCATTACAAATATGTATACCTACTTTGTAAACTTTATGTTACTCATCAGTTTTCGAGTAATTTTCTAACAAAGAACTGAATTTAATTGTAATCACTATATTGTATCTAGTGCAACAATGTTGATACAAATACTGCTGTTCTATTATAATATTGCAGTGTGCACTTTATAATCTGCAGTTACACGCTTTTCCATATCCAACTCGCATCATCCATCACTCTTATGTAATAACACAAACATACAATGCCATTTAGTTTCACATATACGTAAATAATAAAAATAAACTCATGTGCGAAACATTTAAAAAATATTTTTTATGTCTGACAGATAACAGCATATTACGCATACCTAATGTAGATTATTATGAAAACCGGATGCAATATTTTCTTAGATTTACGGGAATATTTGACATTTAAATAAAACTATCTTTTCGGATTTTTTCGCGAATTCGTTTTGATTTTTATTATGTTTTATTTACGCTTTAGACATTTCAAAGGTCATTATGTTTGTAACAAGAATATAAAAAAAAAACAAAAGATAGTTTTATTTAAAAAACTGGATAGGTAGGTATATTATCCTAGTAGGAATGCACATAAATATCTACGAGTACAACGAATGGTTATTAAAATCAACTCCTAATACAGAAAAAACGCACCTCTTTTTAAAGACGGGCAACTATAATTAAACTTACTAAATTCAAAATCTATGTATTTTTTCATGATTTTTCAATTTCAGAACCAGGTATGATCAGGTTTAGATATTATAACATAACTGCTCTTGGGCTTATACAGTGGTTAATAAAACCATTTTGCCGATACATGCAAAGGCTTTTAACTTTCATTTACCGCATCCCATTATACACAGTTAGGTGGCTGGTCTAGATTTAGTTATACACGACTATCGGCCACCCGTGTCTGTACTTTAAGCCTATCTGAAGCCAATCTAAATACAGATGATGAATTTTGTATGAGCTTCAATAGCTCGAGTTCAAGCTCTTGGATAAAAGAACACTACAATATTTATTAAGCTTTTAATAGCTGCTGTTTTAAAATATTATTACAATATATCCTGAATTGTTCTGAATATATGGATTGTACAAGAAAAAGGATGTTTATTCGTTAAAGGTATATTTATTATTTAACTTTTGTAATGACTTATTTAGGTATAGAAATGTTGTAACTTTTAGTTTCCATAACTTTTACTCCAGCGTTTCCTCAAAATATTTTTTATAGCTATATTTGGATTCCCTATCACCTCCAATCCAAAAATACCACAAACTCCTCCAGGGGCCGTGTCCTAAAATCTTACAATAAAAAGATAAAAATCTAAAAACTTTATATTTCCTACAATCGATTACTTTAACGCCGTCTACTTCTTAATTCTGCGAATATTTGATAAAAACAAAAACATGCTATAAACAGCTGCAAATAAATTTGGGACGTCAATAAAAACATTGAAATCGGTTCATTAGACATTACAACAGGCGTCGTGGCAAACGATAATCACGAACTTACAGCTAGCTAATTGGAAACCATAAATTCAAGAATCCTAACCCTATTCCACGTAGCCTTTCATTCCCCTCACTAAAAAAACCTTTACATCACCAACATATCCTATGATCGAATATTTTGAATCTTATTAAAAGGTAATAAGATATAAAATTGGATATCAATAGCTAAAGTAATCTGTACGTCGGAACAGACGCCTGTAAAAAAATTCATTGTTCGGTGTTCTATCGAAGTGTGAGATGTGGGAATAAATTAAGTTGACCCATTTCAAAGTTTTTACAGGTAAGAAACCTTCTTGGAATTTCGGAGATAGATTAAAATCGTCAGAGAATCACGTCTCCGTGGTGTAACAATTATTTTTTCCATAACTACTAACTAGACAAACCATACTGTCACATAAATTACATATTTTTGTTCTAAATTAGAATTTAACATCTTCAAGACTAGGCAATATATGTACATATATCTATACATATAATGAAATTCTAACTGATTCGAATATGTACATTAAATATTTTTTGGAAAATCTTACGGCAACATTCATTATTATCGATAAAGGCCAAATCTATAGTTTTTAGAATTTTTGTCAGTCTGTCTATCTGTGTTACTGTGACTGCATCACGTGAAAACCACTGGACAAATTTTAATGAAATTTGGTATGATGATAGCTGGTTATCCGGATCAACATATAGGATACTTTTTACTGCGGAAGATTACCTCATTTCCGAGAAATCTTTCAACATCATTCAACGTTTATACGTATAACGTTGAAACGTAACTAGGGACGAACCCGAGCGGAGCAAGGGTGAGTCGCTACCGCTAGTCTATAAAAAAACTTGAATACTTAGGAAAATTGTCACAGGTATAAGTATTCCTGATGAAAGGATGAATAAACAGAAAACAAAATTAAAACATGTATATTCTTAAATCAGCTTAGAAATCAGAACTGTACAATAAAAATCACGACAGCAGCCCTTAAAATAAAGCAACACTTTTATTATGTTTTTGGGTATAATTTTGGGTATTTAGTTAAAAAGTAAATATAAAATTTTCCTATGACAATTTATTTCACAATTTCTAAGAAAAAAAAATAGTATTCGAACTCCAACTAACTTGGTAAGGATACAATTTCTTCAACTACTAAGCCGCTACGGCTTTCATTTTTAGTTTGAATGCAATTTAGGCATTAGGACTTACACAGAGCATCGTAAAGTCTTATAGCCTATTCATTGTGCTCATTCGTTTCGACTTTACGTGGGTAGTTGAGTTGCATTTTATTGGTCAGGACCTATATAAGTAACAGCAAAGTTTCGTTTAAAATATAGCTTTTTCAATATCTTTTAGTTATTAATAGCATCTTTAAATTACTAATTGAATTATTTAACATTTGTAACTTGCAACTTATTCAAGTTTATATTTATTCTTGAAAGTAATGACGGTAGAAAGTTTTAAGCTTCAAACTAATTAGATTCCCATGGTATGGTATATCCCATGGTAATATGCCTATAAACTGTATAATATGCGAAAAATCACATTGATCTGCCACATCCGCAAAGGACGATAGAGTTACAAACACACTTTCGTATTCGAGAGGACTTAGCAAAGCTAACAAATATCGTGTAGTTGCGAGAGTGCGGGATAAGTATTGAAGTAATAAGTAGGTACGTACTAAATATGGGGTGAGCAAATCAGTCAATATTATATTATTAAATATAGGTATACTTATATTATAAGCTGAAGAGGTTTATGTTTTTTGATTGGAACCACCAATCAGTCAAATATTATATTTTTTTTCATTTATGGCCTATTTATTCAGGATGTTTTTAGGCTCTCTAACATTACTCTACAACGTCTGTAAGTGCAAATACAGAAATTAACTACACAAGCCTTGCCGCGAGCAAAAGCTTACAATAAATAACATGCTAATACTTTTAACTTAAAGTAATAGCTTACTAATGACCACTGAACAGTATAAATTAAAGACGTTCCAAACAAAATGGAAACAATGTGAAATTATTTAATTTTATAAAAAGTTTCAATTAAAAAATCGCTTTTATATAAAACTATCTTTTCGGATTTTTTCTCGGATTTATTTTGATTTTTGTTGACGTTTTGAATGCTGTACAGCAATCATGGTCACGGGAGAGACTTAGGTTATAGACGTCTCAAACACATAGGTATACTTGTTACAGATGATGCCTACCCACTATTTTAAAAAAAATGATTTCATAAATTCTAAAATGGCAATAACGTAGGTACCTTACAATAATTGTTGATTTTTATTTCTAAACATTTAAAAAAATATATAAAGTATTATAATTAACTATAGTAATGTCAAATATTCGCGTAAATCTAAGAAAGAATTAAAAAATCACAAGTATAATTGAATTCTAATGAAAACAACTCTACGATGTTGCTAGGCGTTGCCCTCATCGCTAGGATCAAGAAACCCTAGTAAAATTCGGATGGGATGTCACTATCTATAGGTAAATATCTCCTTTTGCGACGTTGATCCTCCTCTGTGCTTCGAATAATAGCTCCAAATCTTATACTATTTTATAGCTTCACACACTTTTTTGTAAAAGAAAATAGTACTGAGTCTATTGAGGCATTTCTTGTTGATGGCGTGAAAAAAAATTAATGAGTAAGCGAAAAACAAAGCTAGGTTTGCAAATTATATTCTTAAAGTCTATGCAAGAAAAAGAAGCCTGGAGCTAAGAGTATGAAAATGTTTTAGTCGACTTAGACAGGCGCTGGCCCTTCCCTTGTGTTTTAGTTATAAAATCAAGTTTATTATAGAACATAACGCTACACTTTTCTTTGGTCCCTGTAAGTGATTTAATTAAAACATTTAAATCGACAAACCGACAAAATACCTCTTACTTATTAAACAAAACCTAATTATTTATTTATTTTAAGAAATTATTTACTAAATGATAAAAGCTACTATATGTCCTCAAGCGTGAAGAAGTATGTTTTCACACACTTTTTCTAGTGTTAAAACATAAACGTGAAAGTGTGTTTGTTTGTTCTTCTTTTACGTCAAAACAGAATGACGGATGACGTGATTTTTTGTA